CTGGAACCCACAAGGGCTCACAGTTATGACCCTGTCATCCACTGAGTTCCAGTCGTCAGGAAAAATCTTGAGTGTAGCAGTATATGCCTGATATGCCAGCGGCATGCAATGGGCCCTTTACTGACGAGCTTTGTAGCTTAGCTGGTAGGAAGTGACATGGTGAAATAAGCAAAAATGTAGCCCTGTGGAAAGGGAACGGGATCCATCTGTGCAGGAAAGTACATTTGAGATATGCACATAGCAACAACTTATGAGGATACGCACAGATTGATGAACAGGATTTGGCAGACTGGTAAAGGCTGAGGATTGGTTAAATTAAAAGCATTGAGGTTGTACAGAAGGGCTGTTTAACTAAGTTTACTTAGGGGAAAACATTTTTAAAAAAAACTGAGATCGCCACGGGTCAGTAGCCTGAGCCCAAGGATAAAAATTCATTATTATATTGCTTTTGGCAACGATCCGTTGGCCACTTTCTAGTCCTCTGCGGGTCACCATTAAATGGCTCTTTTCTATGGGAAAAGACCCCCCACCTGACTGTATAACATTTTTCAGTCATGCGATATCATATTTTATTCGTAAGCCGACTGTATCTGCTGCTCATTTACATTGATTTTTTTCATGTTTCCTTCCGGAGATATGCAAAATAACTAATTTATGCTTAGTTTTTTTTTTTCAAAGAGACTAGTTTCAGTCTTCACTTTTGCAGACTTATCCAGTATATTTTCACAGCTATACTCAGCAAAACCAATTTCATTCCCTGTTCATAGTGGTAGTAACAATACTCTAGGTATTGCTGTTGGTTGTTGACAAAGGCCACAAATTATGTAGTCATTGGCTTGCAAGCATAGCCTTACCACATGTTGGGTTGTCATTGATTAATTGATTTTTTGTGTGTGCTTGCATTGTCATTATTCTCTGTTCATTGAGTTACCTTTGATTGGTCATTCATCTGCTGCCTCCTTGTATTTCTAGATGTCCTAGTTCAGGGCTGTCCAACTTGTGGACCTGCTGATCATTGCCAGTTGTATTGTATTAATAACCTTTCTATGCCTTGGCTTGTGCCTCTGGCCCGTGAACATACCTTTTTTTTTTCACAATTTTAGCCCCTGGGTAGACTTTGTTGAATAGTCCTGTCGTAGTTGATCATCATTTGAGCACTCTATGCTGGTGGTTTCTGTAATGTCAAATTTATCATGTGTTTAGGGGGGGGGGGGGGGGGTTCTGTAATGTCTAGCTTGTCATATGGGGCAATCTGTACTTAGGGAGGAGATATCTGAAATGCATAGTCTGTCTTATGAGAATTGCAACAACAAAAAATGGGGGGGGGGGGTAGTCTGGAATAACTACTTAATAATTTCAACAATCTATGCTGGGAGTATTGAGGCCCCATTGTGGGGAAAACAAGAATAGACCCACTGCCTTCCCAACAAGCAGGTCGTAGGAGTCGACTAATTGGGGACTTCCTTCGAAGTCAGAGTGCATCTGCCCGAGCGGCAAGAAACCACCAGCTGCACACAAATAAGCCAGCAAAATGGATCCACACACAAAACACAGGCCCTGGCACAAAGCCAAATTCCAGAAATGGATGAGCAGCCAGGACTTTCTACCACAGTATTTGCCTGTGAACAAAGAGGAAGAAGGAGATATGAGCAATCTGTTTTATTGGGGGAGGGAGGGGGAAAGGGGTTATCTGCAGTAAATCTGGTTGATCTTATGAGAATTCTACACCTGAGGGAGAAGGCTGGTGGGGGGGGGGGGTGATTGTTATTTAGCAAATGTCTAATTGGTCTTATGATTAATGTGGAAGGCGGCACTAAATATTTTCTGAGATGTCTGGTTGATTATTTGAGCAATCTCAGCTGTGGTTCATCTGAAATATATCCAGATTGAACTGTTGTACAAAACTAGAGCTGTTAACTATAGAGTATTGTGTTCTGTCACAGCTGTGTTGTGCCATCTGGTTTGTGTTAGGAGTAGAAGTGTGTAAGTTCATGTGCAGGCTCCTTTAATTCTTTTATTCATCCGCACATTTTTCCTCCTCCGATGTTTCGTAGTTTCCCACATGGAACCCTGTGAAGGGACTGGTGGCCAGGATAATTTGCCCCCTTGTGGTTTATGTTGGAGAAGAGGCACATTTTTTCAAAACCAGCGTGGGAGTGAGAGTTTGTATTCCCTGTGTGGGTCCTAGGGCCATGTTTTGGAGAGCAAAGAATACACCCACCACTTCCCTTATACGCATGTTGTGGGGCGACTAATTAGGAGTGTTTCCGTCAAAGTCAGGGTGCATCTGCCTGAGAGGCAAGGAACCAACAGTTTTTATAATAATAAGTCAGATGTGCACGCAAAACTTTCGGGATCAAGACCACGGTCCAGGAGTGGACGAACAACCAGGAATTTACAGCTGGTCAAAATTAAGATTTATTTTTACTTTCATCTTTTTTACTACAGTTCGCATTTTCTTCTTTTTTGTCCTTCCTGCTGTTGGTTATAAGATGAGAAGGCCACAGGCCTCTGTAAAGGCTGTTTAGAAGTTCCTGTCCTCCAATGATCCAAACTTAAGTTCTGGATCAAGACCAAGGTCCCGGAGTATACAAACAACCAGGACTTTCCATCGGAGTTTACAGCTGATCAGAATTAAGAATACTTAAAAATGGTTACACTGTTGGCATTTTCTTCTTTTTGTTGTTTGTGCCGTTGGTTTCAAGAGGAGAAAGCCACAGGCCTCTATAAAGGCTGTTTTGGGGTGCCTGTCCTCCACTGATACATACAGCTTAGTTTCTGCTAGAATACTAACTGGCCAAAGCTGAGATGTTTCTTTTGTAATTTTGGTAGCCTTAGTTTCATCTTCATAGCAACCGGATCACCCCATAGTTGCTCCGCTCCTGTACCTATGAAAAACACATAGAATGTCCATCACTGTCTCTTGTGGCAAAATCAACATAGACTGCAGTCTCAGCATACACACACATTAAAAGCTTAAGGCAGCCATCAAAAGTGCTAACTCAAACTGTCCGATATAAGAAATGTAGTTTATCTTCGACAGAAGCAGCTGTTAAACAAATCAGCAGTTGCAAAGGTGATCAGATTTAATCACATCAGGCACTACTAGTTTTGTGGCAATAGGCCATGCACCATTTTCTGAATCTGTTGGTCGCAGTCGACAAACAATTCAAATGAAATCTGCAGCTCATAGTGTCACGTCATGCACTCAGCTCAGTAGCTAGGCAACAAAACTTCATCTTTTCAGCATACAAATGGAGGAAAATGCAACAGCCACCATCTGTCAGAAGCAAAACAAATTTGTCATGACTACAAAAACAGTGACTGAGCCTGTAGTTTATTATGACCGTTAGTTGGGCTCTTTCTGCAGCCCATTTTCAGTATTCTGTGACGCCTGTCCACGTAGACAAAGTTCTGTGGCATAGGTCTTGAATTTCTTGTACATTTATGTCCAGTTCACAAACACAGTCTGTTGCTTTGGTGTCAGGAGGTAGTATTTTTATCTTCATAATATGTTCATGCCACAGTGGGTAGCACACTTTCCTGTCAGCCTGGTGGTGATAGGTTCTGATCCCCATGGAGATGAAATGTAAAAATTGGTATGAAGTGAATTCCCACTGAGGTCTAAAGGGTTTCCTGAGATGTTGCAGGGGTATTACAGGCCAGTGAGAAACAGGTAAAGCAAGGGAAATGATATTTACATGTGACACTGAGCAGTTACAAAACCAAATCTCGTGGGAAGGAAACGGGTGCTTTGAAGGACAAATGAGATAGAGAGGCAGTTATTGGTTGACCGTGAGAGAGGCAAGTGGTTTCGTATGGGGTGACTGAAGTAAACATCGATAATGAGCTGAGAGAACGAGGACTTGGAACTCAGGAATGTCTGAAGAGAATTGATTCTGAATTGTGTTGCCCAGTGACTGTGAACTTTGTGGGGCTGTGATCTAGATGCGAAATCCTTGCATAAATGAACTATGCGTACTGAAAAGTCATTGCATCTCTTGTCTAGTTGTAATCCTGTCGTGGCCGTCAGTCGCGAGCAAGTTGTAAATGACCAGGAAGATTTTAGGACAACGGAATAGCTCTTTTTGATAGACTATGATAAACTGTACCAGTGTCATCAGCGTGTTTTGACTATACCTCTGTGAGTCCATAACGGAGAAGGTAGAGAGTTGACATCAGCATAGTCTGAGTCAGAGCAACAATTTTTTAATAATGGACCCAGGCCTGTCAGATTCTGCCAGTTGAGCCATCCAAGACTGAGTGAGAAATCATACTATCAGACAGGTTGTGGGAAAGCCTGCCAAGAAATTATACCATCATCAGCGTAGTTACAATACCTTATATCTACATTGAGAAGCCTAAAATCAAATGGTTTGGGCGTCTTGTTAGAATACAGCAGCTGCAGTTACCAACACTTTGAAGAGTTTGATGTGAGAGCAAAAGGTTCTTGAAGTTCAAGATGGATTGATGAAACTGAAAATGTTGTATGTCCTCACGAATTGACAATAGCCAGTGCCAGTATTCTGGCACCGGACCACCAGCAAGACAGTAAAAATAGAAGGTGATGAAAATCTTCATTGTTACGTCAATTTTTTATTCTGTGTTAACCCTATCGCTGGAAAAGCCGCAAAAACTGACACTTCCATTTGGGTCCAGTTCCCAGCCTTGTCTAGAGTTACATGTTTATGACATGAATACTTAATGATATTGGCTGAGTTTGTGCCTGTGCAGTGTTTACAATGTCAGGGTATAAAATAGTTACTAAAAAAAAAGCATTTAGGGGGTTTCCTTGTGAACCAAATTGTATTTGTTAATGCCAGGTAGACATCCCTAATTTCCTATAGCCTCAGTAGTAGAGGTCAAGGGATTACAGTATGAGTCACCAGATACATTTTTTTGAAGCCCCGGGGAATGTATTCCATTGAGTGATATGCAACTAACTTTCACTTTCATTTTAGTTCTCTCAGGTGTTCGGTTTATATGGAGTAGACCTAAAGATGACCAGAAGTTCCAGGCGCTCATATTCTGACAGTGACAGCAGTGATTACAGTTCTAGGAGAAGCTACAGTAGCTCAGACAGGCGGTCTTCCTCAAGGCACAGATCTGATTATGACTCGGCAAGGAGCAGAAGCAGATCAACATCAAGATCCAGGTATACAAGGAGCTACACCAGAAGCAGAAGCTCCAGTTATGATGATGACAGGAGAAGATCTTCCTCCGAGAGGAGACGATCTGATGATGATCTGTCTCTTTCTGAAAGCAAACGTAAGAGTTCGAGATCTCCAACCCCCAAAAGGAAAAAACACTCTAAACATCGCAGCAGAAAAAGGTACTCATATTCAGTGTCTCCTAGGCGAAAATCTATATCTGATAATGAATTGCTAGCTGATAACAAGAATAAAGAAACAAAATCGAAGAGTTCAAGATCTCCAAGCCCAGTTAAGAAAAAGCGGTCGAAACACCGCAGCAAGAAAAAACATTCAGCATCTCCTAAGAAAATATATATTTCTGATGAAGAACCAGCATCTGAAAGAAAAGATAAAGAATTGAAACCAAAAAGTTCAAGATCGCCAAGTCCTGTTAAGAAGAAACGATCTAAACGGCATAGCAAAAAAAGGCATTCACCTTCAGCATCTCCGAAGGTAATATCAATTTCTGACAATGGCCCCTCGCCAGAACGAACAGTTAAGGACGTGAAATCGAAGAGCTCAAGGTCGCCAAGTCCTGTGAAGAAAAAACGCTCCAAACGTCGCCACAAGCATAAACATTTGACTTCCGCGTCTCCCACACATAGGAAGTCTACAGAAACGAATGGATTCATAAAGCCAGCAAAAAGAGCAAGATCACGGAGTGACAGTAGAGAATCTGCTAGAGCAGTTTCACATGGCCGCCGTTCAGTATCCCCAAGCAAAAAACACAGAAATCACAAAGATGCCAGGTAAGATTTCCCATTTCAAAAAATTTCTCTTCAGTCTTCTTCCCCCTGTGTTTGCTATAAAAGGGTGGTTGACATGTTGTATTGGGGTTTACAGCCAGGCAATATCTGCACCTAACGGCGCAGCAAATCTGGTTTCACCAAACTTCTAATTAGTCGCCTCTTGCAGCATTCTTGTTAGGAGACAGTCAATCTTTTCAACTGGTGACCCGCAGAAGCCTAGCGAGTGACCAGTGGATCGGTGCCAGTTTTTTCAGTGATCTTTCTACGCTTGGGGCCTGTGGCCCATGATGATTCCTATTTTCAGCATTTTAGCCCCCGAGTGACCTCAGTTAAATACCCCTGGTCTCTTCTTTACTGGAAATTCAAAACCAGATAGATGTACAGTAAGTCAGCTGTGTAGTTTATGCATTTTAGCAAGAGAAGGATTCATATTGATTGAAATCTGTAGTAACGCACCTGACGAGATACAGCGAAATATGCCTGACAGTAAATTGTGCAGTGTATTGTTTGTGTCTGCATAATTTAAATTTACAACAGGAAAACATTGTTTTGAATAAATAATCTTATCGGACGGACTGTGTATCCACATGTATAAGGCGATCCCATGTATAAGATGATCCCATGTCTAAAGCAATCGCATGTATAAGGTGATCCCATGTAAAAGACGCACATTGATTTTGGGACCCAAAATATGCTGAGGGTGGGGAGATAGTATGGTTACATAAAGTTATTGGACTCATGTTTTATTCTTCACAGAAAACTCCTTCATCAATAAAAACTCTCATCCATTTAATAGTTCCTTTATAAAGTTCTCATCTACATCTGATGATGAATGACTGTCTTCATGTCATTATCCATTCTATCTGTGGCTTTTGAAGTGGCACACTTCATGAATGACTTGACAACGATCTCAATCTTCACATTATCCCAGAATCTCTTCACCCATGTACAAACTTCTCCTATCGTTGGTTTCTTTCACACTGCCTGCTTGTGTCACATTGTTGCCAGAAAAATGTATCAGTTGGTTCCGTCTTTTGCAAACAGGCTCAGTTTTAATTCAGATTCAGTACATGACAATAATCTTTTCTGGGACATTTATTTATGGGTATAACGTAGTGCCATCATCATCATGTGCCCTGCCAACTGGCGTAGGCGCTTATTCGTCTCCACAGATCAGAATTCCTGGTTGCCTGGAACAGCTCTCTTGATGATATCCCTCCATGCCATCGTTTAAGCCCATCCAGCATCATCTCTCTTGGTCTGCCTCTACCCCATTTTTCCATTGATCTGATCTTTCCAGTTGTCATGATGTTCTCCAATGTCTCTCTTCTCATTATGTGGCCAAAGAACACTGTTTGTCTCTTTCTCATTGTTGTATATAGAGATCTACTTTCATTACAAACGTAGTGTAACAAGTGCAAAAACAGGGTTGACGAAAACAGAATAAGAGGATGGCAAAAATAAAGACAAATTCTAGGATGATTTGGCCGTATGGATGGGGTGAGACAAGAGCACTAACCTAATCCATAATTCTGGTGTTCATGTGAGATGGGGAAATACGACAGCCTACGCTTCTGGGCATGGCACATAATGATGTTGGTAATTAAGGTGGTGATCAATAGTGATGTTATGTTATAACCAAACTTAATTCATTTTAAATTGCTTTATTCTGTTAACCTAATTTTGGTTCTGTAATAGGAGGAATTAAATAGTAGGATAGAATCACCAATGTTGAGTTTTGGCAAAGAACTAAAATTCCAATGAATCGAGATATGCAAAAAGGTGCTATTATTGGATAGGACAATGCTTAAAAACGCTGAGAGCAATATAAAGTCTTTGCATTGGAACCTACAGGGGCACGGAAATAAAGGCAGACCGGGGGGGGGGGGGGAGCACTCGGAAGGGTGCCAGAGAGTAAAGTTAAAAGGATAGGGAGGACTTGGGTGAGCTGCCTGCAATAGTAAAGGATAGGATGACTTGGCGTCAGTTCGTTCAAGGCCCGTGCTTCATTTGGGGATAAAGAGCACAAATAAAAAAAAAAAAAACTAGATGGGATGCAGCAAAATATACTGGGCAATCAGTTTTGCACGCTGCTGTGTGTGACTTCTTTGATTTGATTTGTCAAACATAATCAGTGAAAAAAAAATGGTGCATTTCTCCACAAGGGAGGTTGGCTATTAACTATAGAAATACTACGTGGTGAAACCCTAGTCCGTTCCACGGTATGGCTCATATTGTACTTTCTAAGAGCTGTAAGAACATTTTTGTTTTCCGAATAAACCTCCCACTGCTTGAGCCAAACCCTGATAAACATTCATAAAAGCTTGTGCAGTCGGTTGTTAGTGTCTTCTTTGTTCAAGCTGAAAACTAAACAAAAAACATAAACCTCACCCTCCAGAAGTCCATAAATCTCTTTTCTGTTCTTGTCCTGAAAAGGATGTTTGCCTCATTGTGTTATGGTTTACAGCTAGGCTGCAATATCTGCACGCTTTGGCCCAGCACATCCAGTTTCTGCAATTGCCTAGTTAGCCACACTATAGAAAGAACACAGCATTATTGTTAGGGGAAGGCGAGAAGGCAAGTGAAGTTTTCTGACCAATTAATAGACATAATACTCATATATGAAAACTGTATTGGAGGGAAAAGTTGAAGGCAAGCAAGAGGATAACATCATGAGACGGACAAACAGCAATATACATCTAGGGTGAAAGTGAGTGAATTGGTAATTTTTTTTCAGCCAATTTCATCGTGGAGATGGTATTTGATTGATTGATTCTGGTTATTTTCTTTGTTCACATTTTTCCTTGTCAGAAGGATTGCATAATTTGTTTTTTTAGGGAGAACACAACAAATCATAAACATAATGAGAAGCCTTCTGAAAGAGGCCACCCTCAGGAGGCTGATGGGAACATTGATGGACAACATAAAAGATCAAATTGGTGGGCAGAAAACAGAAATGAAGAAGAGGATGCTTTGAGGATGGCGAGGTAAGTGCTGCGTCCTTCCTTCCTTGTTCAGTGATGTTCCTCCAATCATGATGAGAGCAGTGAGTCATTCACTCTTTACAAAATAAATGTCAGTTGTGATGACGTAGTTCTTTTGATAAGTAAACCAACCAAGTCTCCATTTCACACCTTTGTTGCGTGGGTTATTCAATGCTAGGCCTTAAATTTTACAGATGACACTCAGTGGATGATGTAATCATTGTCACACTAGCTGTCTTTATGTCCTGAAACACTAGTCACTACACAGTAGAGACTGGGTTAAGCCTTGAAGCCAAGGTCAGTTTTTTTTTTTTTTTAAATCCACCTCACTGAAGATTTGAGCTCTTGACCTACACGCTGTCAGATGAAAACGCTGCTAGGGCTTTTTGTTTTTTGGGGTAAACAACTGACATTTGTTTGTAGGCTTCTGGCAGAAGGTGTACATAGTGTATCACGCCTGTGTCACCAGCACATGGAATTGTGGTTTGTATTTGGTGTTGACATTATCATGAAAAGATATGTCTTGTGCTGTAAGCTCCGGCAGAAAGTCCTGGTTGTTCATCCATTTGGACTTTGGCTTTGTGCCGGGGCCTGAATTTTGCATGTACATCTATTTGTTGTTTGGCCACATAATGAGAAGAGAGACAATTGAAGAACATCGAGACAACTGGAAAGGTCAGTGGAAAAGTGGGTAGAGGCAGACCAAGAGAGATGATGCTGGATGGGCTGAAACGATGGCATGGAGGGATATCATCATGAGAGCTGTTCCAGGGTCGGGATCTGTGGAGACACATGAGCGCCTACACCAGTTGACAGGGCACATGATGATGATGGCATCCATTTTTACTGGCTTATTTGTGTGCAATTGGTTGTACCTTGCCACTCAGGCAGATGCACTCCGACTTTAAAGGAAGTCCCCAGTAAGTCGACTCCTGCGACAAGCTTGTTGGGGAGGCAGTGGGTCTGTTCTTGTTTTCCCCCATAATAGGGCCCTGGAAGCCACATGGGGGAAAGAAAAGATATAAAACCAAATAAAAAAGTAGAATCAGTCAGGTTCACAGTCACTCACACACACACACAAACAAGTGAATGTTGCAGCTAGAGAGCCTTTATCTGCACATTAGATAAATCTACAATACCACAAGAATGAACAAGAATACACAGAATCAGGTAACTGACATATCTGCGATAGGAAACCTTATTTCTGTCTGGCCAGTTCAGTGATGACATTGGTACTAAAAGTTTTTTTTTTTATAGTAAAAGACCCTTTTACATGCTTTTGGGCATATAGGGCTAGACCTATATTTCATAGACCAAATCCGCACTTGGTGGGTGATGGGTCAACATCACGTCGGCCGCCTTTATTTCCCGGGACCGCACCTGGTACCCACTCAGGGCTTGGTTGAACTGGGGCCAAGGTCATTTTTTAAGAAAGCCTAGTTCTGCCAGGATCCGAACCCACGACCTTCTGATCCGCAGGTGAGCATCTAGCCTCTACACCTGGTTTTGGTAGGCACGTCCCCCCTAAAAATGTCCCATTCTGAGTATCTTTAATCTGTTTTTTTTTTGTGTGGAGGGTGTTGTGTGCTTAGTGTGATTGTTTCACCTTTACCGACACCATGAGGAATTGCCATGAATCTCTTACAAACTCAAGGTGCTGATTTTTGGGTCCTTGGAAAGTGTGATCATAGTCATGATCTACCTCTTTTGTAACCAAAACTTTTTTTTTTTTTTTTTAAAGATGTCTCAAAGGAAGTTGAAGACAGGTCTTACCTAGTAAAGTTCCTGCATCTGTCTACTTGTTCACCAGCAAATTGTGAAAGTTATTTTGTTTTGTACAATGTGTATGGTTTGTCTCACATTAACAAATGGAAGGCAGTCCCTTGTGGATACTAGAATTTTCTGTCCACTTCTTCTTCTCAAATGGAGCTTAGACCCACATCTAACTGTTTAAAGCCTTTGATGCTTTGTTTATGCATAGTTGAATATTCAGCAAAGATTGTATATGGGAAAAGTTAGTTTATCACCGCCCTTCTCAATTGCCCCTTACGACATGCCTGGTAAGTTGCAGTGTTGTTATCTATTGCTTTCATTATGGGCCCAGTAACGTATGTGAATGTTTATATAAATAATATGGGTGTGTGTATTTATATATTTATGTGTGAGTATATAATTGGGTGTAAATAAGAAATATATTTAATACAATTTATTTTTTAGAAACATTGTATATGAGAAGAGAATATTTATATTAGCTTTTATTAAGTTTTATTTCATTTTCAGGAGAAGAGAAGAAAGAGAAAGAATTGGTGCATTTGTTTTTAATGAAATATGGGCAAAGTCACCGCCACCCGAACCAGAGTAAGTGTTCATTTTCTTTCAGTTACAGTTGTCTGTGTTTGTAAATTATTTGATTTTTCAAGTCCCCAAGCGTCAAAAATGCAGACAAAACCAGAGCTTGCAGCCTTAATTTTGGGCCTCTTACAGTGGGGGGAGGAGGGGGGGGCACTTTTTTGTTTTTACCATACTTTTACTAAATGTATTCTATCCTTAATGGTTTTGCGAAGACGGTTAGAGAACATTTTTTTTAACCTTTTTTTTAAATATGTGGCTTCTACAGGGTTGTTCAGCTGGTGGCCCAGGCCAGATCTGGCCACAGGCCCACGACAATCCCCGTTTTCAGCATTTAGGTCCGCGAGTAAACTTAGTTGAATAGCCCAGGTCTACAGTATTATTTGCCAGCATACATGGCTGTCGAGTTTTAAATCACTATACCCTATGGGCCATGCAGAATAAAATAAATACACAAATGTTTGCGGAGTAACAATGGCGTTAATTAGCTAACTTTTTATGGGTTTAGTTGGCGTTAAATCCAGAATGACGCAATTCTGTTCAAGCATACTCTTATAACAAATGTTTAATTAATTACACATGTCTGTATTTCAATATTCTTTCAGCAGACGGGTACGTAATTAGTATTTTTTTAAAGTCAATCTGGCAATGTTGCAGACTATCATAAACCCTGGTAATGTTGCAGACTATCATGAACCCACGTGACAGTTAATGTTGTCTTTTGCTATTTTCTGTAGCAGCTAAGTGTGTGATATTGTGAGTGTGATCAGCAGCAGCAGTGTTTCTCCTCTTTGTTTGCGCTGCTGAGAAACAAAATAGTTCATCACATTGTGTACATCTCTGCTTCTAATTGACATAAGCACTCTTTTGAGTTGTATTTAGTCACCTCAGTCTTCTTCTCTTCATTGAGCCTGAGGAGAAAGCCACAGGCCTCACTGAAGGTTTTGGTGCATTGCATATTTCTTAGCTGATTCGTAAAGGGAATCTGGCCGACGCTCAACACTCAGGGGAAGGATGAAACGGTTACTGGTACCTTTGGAATTGGAACTCTTCGCTTGCTGCTGAAGATGGGGACTGAGCACTTATGGGAGTGTCCCAAGTGCTGTGATGTAGATTTTGTCGCACCTGCACCTGCCAGTTGATCAGCTTTCTCATTTCCAGGCACTCCACAATGAGACGGTATCCACTGCATTACGACTCTTCGCTGAAGGCTGAGTTGTGTCAGCAGTGTTTGCAATTCTGGTAGTTTCCTAGACTGGAGTGCTTCAAGGACTGAAATAGCATCTGTCAGCATTACCACATACTGTGAGCCAAAATTGGTATTTAGCAGTTTCTGCTTCATAGTTATGGTATTACTTCCCGGTTGGTACGCTGGACTTATCCCTAGTACCATCTGGGAATTCGATGTACACTCCAGCACCACCATTTCTAACTGCACTTTCTGCGGACCCATCTGTATAAACTCTGACCCATTGTTCTTTTGGGTATTCTTCATCAATATAACTGAGGGTGGCCATTCTGCGTTATACACTATCTTGCTCTTTCTTGTCAGATATCCCTTTCACATTTGTCTGGATTTGTACTGTTAGTTTGCATTTTTCTCTCCATGGGGTTTGTTCCGGAATACTTTTAAGTGGGCAACCAATTTCTGGAAGGTCAGGAGTTTGTCTACATATTCTTTTTGCATGGTGTATAAAGCTGCTTCTTTTTAACCGTCCCAAGGCTAGGTTCTTAAATCTGTTTTCCATCGGGTGATCTGGCATACTGAAGAACTTTTCAGCTTGTATTTGCAACTTTGTATCTCTGCGTTCTCTCAGTGCCTGTGTTTTCCTAGCTTTCTCCATTTCTAATATGGGGGTTGATTTGTACGTGTGTCATCGATAGTTTTTAGGAGTACGCCTTTCTTGTCAACTAATAAAAACATGCAATGGGATAATTATGTGTTATTGTCTTTTCTTTTCTTTTTTTTCATCAGGGAAGCGCCATTGGATAACTGTGTTTCTTCTTCTTTTTTTTTTTTTTTTAAGAGCAGCTGATGACTTTTTGAATATCAGTTTACTACAGATATTTACTTATGTTTATAGATAAGCCATAACAGAAGTAACTGATCTGCCAGTTCAGAGGTAACTGATCTGCTCATCTATCCTAGACTAGCTAACTCAGCCAGTGATAGGTGTCCGCAGCAAATGTTATCAGCCATAATTTTATGTTCTGATAATAAAATCCGTGTGCAGTTTTTGTGTGTGCGTGTGTGAAGATTTTATTGGTTTGACAGCTGTTCGTATGTTAGGAAGCTGGCCTTAATAAATTATCATCCAGGTTTTTTTTTTTTTAAATACAGTTTTTATAGCTATGTTTCTGATGTGTTCTATTGATTGTTTATTTTTCTGGATTTTGGGGTCCGCTATCACCATAACTGCCTATACTGTGTCCTTTCTTCAGTCCACAAAACGTACAACATTGGGTCATGTCATTGTAACTACATTTTCCAATCACATTTAATGCAATTACATTTTTTCAACTTGCTGGCAAAGAGTATTGGTTTTCCCCCATCCATCACCTTATCTTGATTATCATGATCATTATGTGCCCTGCCAACTGGCGTAGGCACTCATGCGTCTCCACAGATCACGATCCCTGGTTGCCTGGAACAGCTCTTATGGTGATATCCTCCATGCCACGTTTCAGCCCATCCAGTATCATCTTTTTTGGTCTGCCTCTACCCCTTTTTCCACTGGTCTTTCCAGTTGTCACGATGTTCTGCAGTGTCTCTTTTCTCATTATGTGGCCAGAGAACAGTGTTTGTCTTTTTTCTTATTGTTGTATATAAAGATCTGCTTTCATTAGCTTCTTTCAAGCAATCGCTGTTAGTTACTCTTGCCGTCCAAGGCCAAAGTATTCGTAACATTCGTCTCAGAAACAACATCTCTGTTGCTTCCAGATTCTTCCTGATTTGTTCACTGACATTCCAAGAGTCGCTTCCAAACAGCTGGAAAGGTTCTTTGTAACATTTTAGCACCCTCTTTCTTGATTATATTGGAGTATAATTTTACTGGAAAAAAAACAAGTCTCATTCTGACAAACAAATCCACCATTAGGCAGATTTGTATAATTGTCCTAGATCGACTGAGCCTAAAATGTAGACCAGGATATTCCCTGGAAAGTAAAAGCAGCCACATGATGTTTACATATAACCCCTTGCAGGCTGATTGGTCTATAAAGATATAGATCTAGCACCATATACTTTTCTTTCCATTGACCTGTAAATTGTGTGTATTTTCTTTTGCCAATGGCATGAGAGTTGAGTTATATTCATTTCACAACCAACATCACAGCACTTGAGAAGTTCTCTTCTACTCTCCATCTACATCTGTAGCAACCAGCGAAGACTTCAAGTTCTATATAATACCTGTATCAGTTTGATTTTATGTCCATCTTGCCTTTCAGTTGAGTGTCGGCCAGCAGTAACTCGCCGCTGCAACATCTCTCCATCTCTGTTGGAGCTTCTGCATGTTTCACTTGCTCCCAGGGCACCTTGGAAACTTCTAGAATGTCATGTGTCATTTCTCCACCCATTGTTACAGCGCCAGCCAGTCTGTCTGCTTGTTTATTTGCCAACACCTCTGCCTACCTGGAGACAAGATGCAAAAGATGCTAACTAACAGGGACTTCTGTAGCAATCCTTGCCACCCCGTCAAAATGGACGCTAGGCACGGTCATTGTTTTGAGCCGTGGCAAATATTTTTGCTTCTGCCAGATGGTGGCCATTGCATTTTTGCTCCATTTGTAGACTGAAAGGATACAGTTTCGTCGCCCAGCTTCTGAGTTAAGTACATGGCGTGACACTGAGCTGCAGATTTCATGTGGAATGTTTTTCGACTGACCAACGTGGTGGTGTGAATTGTAGAATTGCGCTATGCCTGCTGTCGCAATATTGGTGGTGCCATTATGTGATTAAAATTGATTGCGTGTGCAACTGCTGATCTGTTGGTGACTTCTGCTACCATCCATGATAAACTGCATTTCTAATGTCAGACAGTTTGTGTTAGCACTTTGGGTGGCTACCGCATACCTTTAATATGTGTGTATGCTAGTGCATATGCTGAGACAGCAGTCTGTCAATCTTTCCACAACGGACTGTGATAAACATTCTGTGTGTTTTTTGTTTTCACAGGAGCGGAGCAACTATGGGGTGACCCGTTTGCTATGAAGCTGAAACTAAGATTACCAGATTACTCTGCATTTGAGCATGACTTCCTCCACCTTTCTCAGCAGGCTTTTTGATTCTGTTACAGTCACAGTGGGTGTGTGCAACTGGTTCTGAAGCCAGTATGATGCTGCTGTGACTGCCTCTGCCTGCATTCTCAAACTAGATGTTGTATCATATGATAGGCTTTGTTGTACTTGACAATGTCCTTTTTACTTTGAAACACCCCCCCCCCCCCCCCAACTTTTTTTCTGCCCCTCACCACAGATCCAGCCAGATAGATAATCGCGTCACCTGGAATGGTCAATCATGATTTAGTTGTTGAATTTCAGATTCTGTGGTGCATGCTGGCCTACAGATGTGGAAACACACACAGACACACACAAAGAAATGTCTTATAAAGGCGACATACACTTGTTATTGTCTGATCTGTTACATTATAAAAGCTTTAATTGATAGATCAATGTTGACAATTTAAAACTGGAAATAAAGTATGAAATGTTCATTTAACCAGTACTTTCACATTCATTAAGTATCCAATGTATTGATTACTCTTTTATTAGATCCGAGTCGGAAGGTGAAAAGGAATTAAAGAAAAAGAAGAAGAAAGCTGAGAAAAAGAAAAGAAAAAAGGCAGATTCAAGTGATGATAGTGATGATGATAGTTCTGAAGTTGGTAAGGCATCACATTTATCATTGAATAATTACACTGGTCTTTGGTTCATTAAATTGTTATATTGTTAAAAGTAACCGTTGTCATTTTGCTGTCATATTGCCAGGTGAGCCATCTTTTAGTTAATCCTCAATAAGAAAGTAAGTATCGGACTGTTTTGACATCTTTGGTACATCGGGTTTATTGCAAGCACTAGACAAATTTTTTAAATAGAGCAGCCGGTGACGTGGTCAGCTTCATGCCAGCTGTTTTACTTCCCATGTCCATGCCTGGTACCTTTTTTAGGCTAGGTTGACCTGGTAGCCAAGGTTACCTTTTTTTTAAAATCCACTTGTGAAGGATTTGAACCCTAGAACTTTGTGCTGGCGGGTTAGAGTCTAGCTGCTACGCCACCACGGCTCTCCTCATAAAGAAAAAAGGATTTGTTATCTGTTAGATTTGAAGTACACATTGTGAGCCTTTACACTGTCTGAGGACGCCCGTAAGCTGAGGCAACACCCACATTTCCATAAGCTCTCTATCCCCATCTTCAGCAGCAAGCGCAGAGTTCCAAATTCTGATGGTAGCAGTCTTATTGTATGTCTGTCTCACCCCTTTCACGGAGTGTTGAGCATGGGCCAGATCCTCTGATTCTTCTTCGCTGCACGATTCTCTTCAGACTGAGATCTGTTTGTGCCTCCACACTGTTTACTCGCTCCCGTTGGGGCCCTTACGGCACCTAGCTTCAAAGCTGGAAGGACACCAGTAAAGTTCAGTTAAAAGACCCGGTTTCCTGGCAGGGTCACGTACAAATTGGATTTTTCCACAGCACAGTTTGTGGTATTGGGTACGTATCACAAAAATCACCCTATCTCATCGTATGCGAAATTTTCCACAGGATGTGCTAGCAGTGTCATGTTTTTGTTATTTTCAATGCTATAAGCATTCTATATTTCACGTGGTGAGCAGCCAGCATGTTGTTAGCGTCCGGCACTGTGTGTTTTATTTGCGTCATGCGTTGACTCTCACTGCGGCCTAACTTGGTGACTTGATCTTCGTCATGAATTTCTTTCAGCTGTCAGTGTTGGTGAGCGACAAACAGAGTAGCATTGCTTTCTCTGCAGCAACGATGTGTATGGGCGGTGAAGGTGAAAGAACGCATATCCTAACACCCTACATTTTAGGACAGCCCTTGGAAACTGCCATGGAATGAATGGGAACCAGCGCGTAATCTCGTGCCCGACAAAACGGGGTGATTTTCGTGATATGTACCTGGCATTGTCACCATCACATAAGCCTTTAACTTTACGGACATATTTCTGATGCCAACTTTTATGGGGCTGAATCAGCCCCGGAACTAACTGACCTGTTGAAAATTACTTGACTTGATGGGGATGTGAGAAGGAATTGAAAACACCCTACAAGACTGCTGTAAAATTTATCACTTGTGGGCTGGATTTTAGCTCACAGATACAGAAACAGCCACACAGTTATTCAGGGGTCTCGGCAAGTTTACAGTGCATCAACAGGCACCCTGTAAATGTATGTAGGCATTGCTAGATGAACTGCAATCAAAGGTGATGAAGATCCACAAGGCTGAGTTACACTGACACAAATCATGTTAAAATGGACAATTTTCATACGATAACCTGCTTTGTGGATCACCCAGGGCCAAATTGCCCATTTGCATACATAAAAAAAGATTTCTTTTAAACATAGTGGTAATTGAACCCTAAAGCTTACACCATCGTGAAAAGCTCGTGCAAGTGATCTTGTTTTAAAATCGTGTGAGGAAGGGAAAAGTTAACTATTTTTGTGACTATTTTTGATGAATTTCTCTACTATCACTCTACTGCTACTGTCACTTTTCTATCACAAAAACAGCCTTTCCTTCACTCATAATTGCAGTGAATCTTCCTTAACAGACAATGACAATAAGTACGTATGTTGGTTGTTTCTGTATGACACTGGTTGTCATCAACATTGCCACCACACACGTATTCATTCACATGGTTTTTTCTTCACCCTTGACAGGTGGTTTCTTTGATTCTTTTTCCATTATCCAACATGAAATAATAACAACAAATATCCCTGTGCGGTTAATAGAGCACATGGTAGTTTAAAATGCCAGTTTTGCGGGGATTGTAAATTCAGTACCAAACATCTTGCCACATGTTTGTTAATTTTTGTCGAACAATTTGCCATTCTGTTCTCCCTGTGTGGCGTCCAGTTGTTACATCAGTCCACTGTGTCTGAAATTGTTGCTCTGACTCCTGCATTCTTGTAGTGTGATCATTTTAACTTGTTCTGGTTTAAAATATGTATTAGTTAAAGGAACAGTTTATGTTGTATAGCAGGTTGAACTAATGATTGGCGGGGACTTGAAAAAAAAAAAAACAGGTTGAACTTGAGAGAATCTACTTCATTATACTAGAATTTACCCCGTGTAGCTCGACCTCTCTCTGCTGAACAGCAAACCACAGCATCTTGGCAAAGAACATCACACAAAGCATCAACATCGTAGCTGCAGCTACAATCCCCGGGGGTCTCCGTAACAATTTTAATGGAACAAGGCAGCCGTGAAATGAACCTACCATTTTCAGAGCATGAGGCAAATGGCCTAATCACTTCAGCATGGAGACCCCCTTACTGGTACTTTTAGGATTTAATAGCCGGAATGAACAAGAAGTAAATTACACACGGAAAACAAAGTAGTCTCAGTTGAGAATAGCATTACAGACAACTGATTTACTGTTTATAGAATCGACATCATAGCACACCCCTAAGTATTCAATGATGTTTGTAGATGATAAAAGGACCCTTTTCCATGCCTTCAAGCCTACTGGGTATTTAGTGCTAGACATTTGTTTTAAAAACCAGTTGGCATTCAATGAGTGATGTGTTTATTATCACGCCAGCCACCTTTACTTCTCCCGACTTTACCTGGGACCGATTTTAGGTTGGGTCAACCTGGCAGCCAAGGTTGTTTTTGAAAAAGAAAAAAATCTGGCTGGAAAAAAGATTTAAACCTTCATCTTTGGGCCCATATCCAAGCATTTTGCAACTAGGCCAGAGGCTTCCATTTAAAAACCATAAATAAAACACAAATAACATTTATGAAGCAGTTCAACTGAAGGGATGCAATGAAGAAATTACCGTCTTTGAAAAATATCTAAAGAGCCAAAGATGACAGAAGAATATATGTGCCATACATCTTATTTTTTACCTGTTGATTGTAATATCTTCTCCCATTGACACATTGACTACAGTGTTGTTCTTCTACTTTCTACCTGCAGGTTTTTATAAGTTGTTTCATCATTCAGGCCCCTCCCAACTCCCCGCCAAGCATTCTTCTAAAAAGTAACAATTGTTATTTCAGAAAAAAAGAAGAAGAAAAAGTCACACAAGAAGAAAGCCAAGAAGGAAAAGAAGAAGTAAGATCACTAGCATTAAACTTTCTGTTTTAAGTTTTTCATTAATGTAAATGAGGATTTTTGAGACTTTATATAAGATACAAGCTTGCTGATGAAAACTGCTCCGCTGAAGTCAGTTGCCCGACATACACACTACTTGGCTACACCCAAAAAAAAAGCAAAAGAAATTGAAATAAAAAAACATATGGATTGAAGAAACAAACGTCCAAGAAAAACATAATCTATGCTATCTTTCTTCTTCTGTTCTCCTCTCTTTGGCACTCCATTTAGCTTCTGTTTCTTCTTCATCTAGAAAGAAAGCCAAGAAGGAAAAGAAGTGTGTGTGATCTTTGTATACATCTGTGTTTATCCATGTATTTGTTCACAAATCAAGCACTGTAAATGCACAGCCAGACTTTAAAATCCCCCCCCCCCCCCCCCCCTCATGCCTTGAGAAATTCTTGGGGGAAAAGTTTCTGTATTTGACTAGGAACCCTGTTTTAAGAAATTTGTTAATGGCACCATTAGTATGAGAATTCTTCAATGGCTACAACAGACAAAAAATAGAGCACCTCTGAGAGTGCCCAAAGTGCAGAGATGTCAATTCTTTATTTATTTGTTGATAAGAAATGGCAAACAACAGATCTTGTGCTGAACAGTGCACTACCTTGTCCGACTGGGTAGCCTCATGTACAGTTATTAGTTTAGGGGTGTTAAATGTTGTCATTAGCTTCTTGTAATAATAAAGTTAACATGATAATTCTAGCTTTCCTTGTTTGTCAGGGGTTGTGATAGCGATGGCGCATTTGCTGAATGCTCATCTGTGTGCCCAAAGGTCTTGGGTTCGATTCTGTATCGAGTCGGGGGTGTTTTTAAAAATTTTTTTAATGTTATTTAACTCATCTTGGTTCCCAGGTTGACCCAGACCAGAGTTGAGTACCAGGAAGTTCTAGGAAATAAAGGTGGTTGGCAGGATGTTGACCACATCACTCCATAAAATACCAGTGGATCAGGTTTGAGCCTGACATCATAGGCCAGCTGTGCCTGGCATAAACAGGGGTCCTTAACTTACTTTATTTTTGCTTCTTTGTCATCCCACGTTTATCTTTTTGTGTGCTTCCACTTTCAGGAAAAAGAAGGCTCGCAAGAAGAAAAAGAAGTCAAAAGTTAGTTCTACTGAATCATCATCATCTGAGTCAGATTCTGATGAGCCCGTTGAATTGAAAGAAATTTGGATGGAGAAGACCAAGAGTAAGTAGCCTGAAGTGACAGGTTTATTGTGTACAACCCTTGTATATTTAGGTCAGTTGCATCATCATCGTCATAATCCTGTTTTTAGCCATGATATTTCACAAAGGGCTGTCAGCCTGCGCTCAGTGCTGTTCATTTCTATGCAGTCCTATTAATATTGCAGATGTAAACTCCAACACTGGTCTACAATCTGGTATCAGTGGGATGACAAAACCCCAAAACTGGGCTACAATCTGGTATCAGTGGGATGACAAAACCCCAACACTGGGCTACAACCTGGTATCAGTGGGATGACAAAACCCCAACACTGGGCTACAATCTGGTATCAGTGGGATGACAAAACCCCAACACTGGGCTACAATCTGGTATCAGTGGGATGACAAAACCCCAACACTGGGCTACAACCTGGTATCAGTGCGATGATAAAACCCCAACACTGGGCTACAACCTGGTATCAGTGAGATGACAAAACCCCAACACTGGTCTACAACCTGGTATCAGCCGGGTGACAAAACCCCAACACTGGGATACAACCTGGTATCAGCCGGGTGACAAAACCCCAACACTGGGATACAACCTGGTATCAGCAGGGTGACAAAACCCCAACACTGGGCTACAATCTGGTATCAGTGGGATGACAAAACCCCAACACTGGGCTACAACCTGGTATCAGTGGGATGACAAAACCCCAACACTGGGCTACAACCTGGTATCAGTGCGATGACAAAACCCCAACACTGGGCTACAACCTGGTATCAGTGGGATGACAAAACCCCAACACTGGGCTACAATCTGGTATCAGTGGGATGACAAAACCCCAACACTGGGCTACAACCTGGTATCAGTGCGATGATAAAACCCCAACACTGGGCTACAACCTGGTATCAGTGAGATGACAAAACCCCAACACTGGTCTACAACCTGGTATCAGCCGGGTGACAAAACCCCAACACTGGGCTACAATCTGGTATCAGTGGGATGACAAAACCCCAACACTGGGCTACAACCTGGTATCAGTGCGATGATAAAACCCCAACACTGGGCTACAACCTGGTATCAGTGAGATGACAAAACCCCAACACTGGTCTACAACCTGGTATCAGCCGGGTGACAAAACCCCAACACTGGGATACAACCTGGTATCAGCCGGGTGACAAAACCCCAACACTGGGATACAACCTGGCTATCAGCAGGGTGACAAAACCCCAACATGGTTCTACAACCTGGTATCAGTGGGATGACAAAACCCCAACACTGGGATACAACCTGGTATCAGTGGGATGACAAAACCCCAACACTGGTCTACAACCTGGTATCAGCAGGGTAACAAAACCCCAACACTGGGATACAACCTGGTATCAGTGGGATGACAAAACCCCAACACTGGGCTACAACCTGGTATCAGTGGGATGACAAAACCCCAACACTGGGCTACAACCTGGTATCAGTGGGATGACAAAACCCCAACACTGGGCTACAACCTGGTATCAGTGGGATGACAAAACCCCAACACTGGGATACAACCTGGTATCAGTGGGATGACAAAAGAAGAATCCAGTCCAGCACCTTTGACCTGTCTCATCAGCATTCATTTTAGGGTTTTTCTTGAATGGCTATGTATTCTCAGTCTGTCTATTTCTAATTTAATTGCCTGTTTGGCAATTATCTGTTTGTTTCTCCTCATATATGAATTTCGCCGTATTCTTTGTCTTTTAACTGCATAGCACGGTTGTCCAGACATTTCTCTTTTTTCTTCAGACGTTTCTTGAACACAAAACTAATAAAAATTTCATAGACAAATTCAAATTTGTGGGACACCAGGAGCCTCTCTTGGCAGTGGTGAAATGTCGCAAGCTAGCTTGGTTTGGGCACGTGAGACATGGTTCAGTTGCAAAGACTACTCAAGTAACGTGGGGGGGGGGGGGTGTGGGGGGGTGGTAGTCGAAGAAGAGGAGAGCAAAGAAGAATCTAAAATGACACCATCAAGAAATGTACAGGACTACGTTATCATATACTTATTCATCAAGCGGAAGACAGATGGCGGGTTTTATGTGCCAGTACTTCCCCATCAATACACCTCCATGACCCAAATTGGTCAAGGGTTATGTTATGTTTTGAAATAATTCTACATTCATCAGTTTCTTCAAGCAGTTATAAGTAAACTGTTGCAGGTAGCTTTCATTATGTATTGTAACATGTCTCAGCTGTCACTTCTTCTTCATTTTCTCTTTCAGTTCTTCAGGTGTTGGGAGAGATATAAAGTTCTGCTTCTTGCTCTTGTGGCAACCCCCGACCATAGGCACATTGTATTGTTGCAGAGCTTCACCAATGTTATCTTTCCAATGCCACCTTCAAGTTTGAGGTGGTCAGTGGAACAAAGTAAGGAGCTGCTAGGATGTGGTGACCTGCTGCCATGGTCCTCGACATTAGTTGGGAAGGCCTGCCTGAGTCGACCCCGAAATGTCCTGACAAGTGGGGCTCTGGTGATGGTTGTGACTGACCTAGCAAGGCAGCAGTGGATTTGTTACTGCTCAAAGAAATATAATGAGATAGATAATGTTGGAGACTGTTGTACATCTGACATTTTCATGTTTATTTTCTTTGTTCAGAACCTAGCCAGTTAACTGCAGAAGACATGGATGTTGTGGGGCCAACACCTTATGTGGAAACCAATACTCTGACAGAGAGAGAGTAAGTTAGTTTTTTATTATAGAAATTTATTTTTGACTAACCTGGGCTTCCAGGTTGACTTAGTCTTCTTCTTCTTCTTCTTCTTGTAGTGTCTTACTTGAGTACAACAAAACTAAAATGTCTAGTTTGAGAATAGAAGGTGGAGGCAGTCTCTGCTGCATTCTGCTGGCTTGAGAATCAGCTGTACACATATGCCGTGATTGTAACTGACTCACAGAGCATGTTGAGAAAGGTGAAAACAGGCATGCTTCGTGCAGAGTGGCAAGCATCACTTCAGAGGTCCTGGGTAGTTAGCATCTTTTGGATATTTACTCCAGGTTATGCCGGTGTGTTTGGAAATGAGCAGGCAGTTAGACTGGCTGGCTCTGCACCACTTGGTAGTGAATTGATGTATGACAAGTTATATATTGTGAGGGCCCTTTGGGAGCGTGTGAACAGTGCGGAGGCGCAGATAGATCATTATGGTCTTAGGAGTCACCAGGGGATCTGGCTGACGCTGAACACTCTGGAGAAAGATGAGACTGATATACAATCAGATGGTTACTGGCATCATGGGAATTGGAATTCTTCACTTGAAGATTGGGGCCTGAGCATTTGAAGGAGTGTCCGGAGTGCTGTGATGTCGATTCTTAATTCAGAATTCAATAAAAATGTGTACTTACGGTATGGGAGGCTATGGATTTTTCTGTCCGTGCAAAATTAACCTGCCCACAGCGAATACACTATAGGGATGCGGCCCTCAATCCCCAGACTCAGAGGCCCTCCTCTCCCTCCTCCTTTTTATTGTTGTTGCTTGCACTGAAAAAGTGGTAAAAACAGAGAGTAATCCCATCTGACATGTCAGCATTCACTGAGTTGTGAGAATAGCTATCAAGCTTCTTTATCTGTTGTCTGTCTATTTCTCTGTCTACCTGCCGGTCTGTCTATTATCCATCCAATTACTTACTTACACCCCCCACCTTCTGCTCAGCCTGATTAATAGATGTGTTGATGGACTCGTTGCAGCTGCCTAGAAATTGTAAAGCAATTTTTAAATGAAAATCAGCACCTCCTGTTTTGTTGAATTAATTCACAAACATTTGACACTCATAAAAAGCTAGTATAACAATGAGGGAACACGCCAGACAAAAGAAAAATAAATGTTTCTTTTGTGGTTTCAAGAATAGCATAGAAGCAAAAAACAATAGCAGCTAGTAAACTCAGTGAAAGAAAATGCAGGCAGTATTAAAATGTTTTTGGCCGGTTTTTTTTATGGATGTACAAAACAACAGGAGTACTTAACCAGAGAAAAAAAAACTGCATAACAGCAATAGTTCAATTTCTAGAAATGACTGAACAGGCTTCACTACAAATTTGTGACTTAGAACAGGACATTGGAGACTTGACGTACGTGCGCACAGAACAAAGGCTGCACGATCCACTCAGTTTCACTGCCAGACAACACTCTAAACACCTGAGCGCACAGTGTTTGCCTGCCCTTGCTCTTTTTTTAATCAGTCTTGCCAGTTGTACCAAATTCTTGAGTCCATTTCTTCTCATATCATGTCCAAACAACACTGTCTTTGTTTAATTTCCATTCACTGTGATTTACACCAACTGAATACCTCAAATTTCCTTTCTGAATACCTAATGGACTGTCAACATCCATTTTCCAGTCACAGTGCTTACACTGTCTGCCTGTGTCTAGTTTCCATTCACAGGGCTTTCATTGGTTGTTTACATGTAATTTCCATTCACAATGCTTAATTTGACTGTCTGCATCAGTGTTCTGGGAGCCGCCGTGGTCTAGCGGCTAGATGCTCGCCTGCGGATCAGAAGGTCATGGGTTCAGGCCCTGACAAGGCCGGACTTTTTATTTTCCAAAATGACCAGGTTGACCCAGCCTTGTGTGAGTTCCAGGCACAGTCCTGGAAAGTAAAGGCGGCTGGCGTGATGCTGAATACATAATCCACCAAGTGCCATTTGGTCTATAAAAAATAGCCTCCCTTGAGAATATGACAAAGCTCCCCCACCCTAAAAAAAATCACCAAGGGAAATAGGCAGTATGGAGATACGCTACATTTTGATCAGAATATGTTCTTAATCTATAAATAATTATGTTATCAAATTATTAGATTTTTAACCGTAGATGTACAAACTGCTTATGAAAATAACAAATGTCCTCTGGCTTTGTTGTTTTATAAATAGTTTTAACAAGTATTGTATAATTTTATTTATAATTCAACTGTAAAAGAAAAGTAAAACAGGGATTATTACAAATACAAATGCACTCAGTTTCAGAATTGCTTTGTATCCTCCCCCCCCCCCCCCCCCCCCCCCCACACACACCAATTCTGATTGGAGACCACTAGTCTACATCTAATTTCCATTCACCATGCTAACATTTTTTTATCCTTTTTTCCCCTGGCAGTTTTGGGCGTGCCTTGTTGCCTGGTGAGGGTGCGGCTATGGCGGCCTACATCGCTGAGGGAAAGAGAATTCCTCGTCGTGGTGAAATTGGTCTAACCTCAGACGAGATTGAATCCTTCGAACATGTTGGCTATGTGATGAGCGGCAGCAGGTATGCATGTGTCTTTTTGTTTTCTCTTCTGGAACATTGAGATATTCTTCTTCTTCTTCACATTCACTAGCTGTAAACTCTGGGGGGAAAGTTCTGGTTGTTCATCCACTTTTGGACTGCAGCACTGATGCAGAATCTGAGTGTTGCATGTGCATCTGTTTTACAGATCTGACTCATTTGTATGCAGACTGCTGGTTCTTTGACTCTTAGGCAAATGCAATCTGAGTTCGAAAGAAGCTCCCAATTATTACGACTTGCTTTTGGGTAGGCAGTGGGTCTATTCTTGTTTTCCCTAAAAAGAGGGCCCCGGAACCCACACGGGATATTATGAAATTAACTTTTTACCCCCCAAGTACAAACCAAGTTCTTTGGTCATGATGAGACTGAGCACTTAAAGGAGTGTCCGGAGTGCTGTGATGTTGATTCTTAATTCAACATTCAATAAAAATGTGTACTTACGGTATGGGAGGCTATAGATTTTTCTATCGGTGCAAAAGTAACCTGCCCACAGCGAATGCACTATAGGGCATTTTTTTTTTTTTTTACATTCTGTGCTGGCTAACTTCTTGTGCGTTTACTAATTGGCACATTGTATCTGCTTTTCTGTCAAGCACATCCAATTTCAGCAAAGGTTACTGCATAAAATGTTTGATTTGTTTATATAAACATTCAGCTGTCACCATATAAATTGTTTTACCATTTACCTCAAAGTTTGAGGTGTTAAATGGGACAGAGTAATTGGTTTCTGTGATTGGGCCAAGTATGATGATGGCCTGGTGTCACGTTAGCCAGGAAGGCTGACCTGAGGCATCCTGAAATGTCCTGACCAGCTGGTCTCTGATGATACTGCAACAGGCCTAGCCATCCAACAGTGGATTTATTATTACTGCAATGAATAAATTGAGATATATTATATTGGAGACTGTTGTCATGAGTATCATCAAGTGACTTGCCAGCTGGCATAGAAAAGCATTCGTCTCCAGAGATCTCGGTCTTTGGTGTTCTGGATCAATTCCACTGATGATATTCCTTCATGCTACTGTCTGAAGCCATCCACCATTATTTCTCTTGGTCTGCCTCTGCCTCTTCGACCAGTGATTTTTCAAGTCGTTATCATACATCTGACATTTTTATTTTCTTGTGTTTGTGTGAATGTAATCTGACAACTCGTCAGTTTGTAACAATTATCTCCCTTTTTTTTTGTCTCACAGACATCGTCGAATGGAAGCTGTGCGACTCAGGAAGGAAAACCAGATCTACAGTGCTGATGAAAAGAGAGCTTTGGCATCATTCAACCACGAAGAACGGAGCAAAAGGGAAGCGAAGATTTTGTCTCAGTTCAGGTCCATGGTTCATGACAGGCTCAAGCATTGAGGGATGGTGTGTTTTCTTATAAAGAACCTTGCAAGAGTATTATATAGATCTTCTTCTTATTCTTCTTCTTTTGCTCATTTTTTAAAGAGGAGGGTATCACATTTCTGTTATGTGCCTCTCAGAATCAGTTGTCGCTATATCTGACTTTATCTTGCATTTACTTGATGCCCATTTCATCTAGACAGATCCCGTTCAACATAACGGGCTGTTTTTTTTTTTTGTATTTTTGCCAGGGCAGTGGCATTACTGCATGTTCTTTGAGATTTTAGAATGGTGTGGGATTTTTAACATTCGCTTACAGGTCTTCCTGTTTTTTTTTTTGCCTTTTTCTGGTAAGGCTAGGTATCATTCACTACCCATGGGGTCAAGGCAAAGTATGATATAATTAGAGATAAAATGGTCATATAAATTGTCACTGCTAAATGCTTGGAGTGAATCCAGCAGTTGTATGTACCACAGGCAGGCATAGCCAGGTTATGCAGGTGTTCAAGGGAACGAGCGTGCAGACAATTTTGCTGACACTGCTGTTGCAATGGCTGGCCCAGTACTCGACAGAAGTGATGTTATCATTGCCATGCGCCGCACTTACTGTACCGAGCAGCACGCCAAAGGACATGACTCCGTATACCTGTCTAGATTGATGGACATTGGGGTGCATCCTGGAGCTGCAAGAAATGAACATTTCACTAAGGGGACAAGATGTTTCATTAACCAACACAGAGCAGGCGTCATCAGTCGTTTTAAACTTGTGGAGCTTTTGAGGAGGAGATCGGAGCACCTATGGATCTGTCTGGAGTGCTCTGATGATAATCCTTTCTAATCACAGGCAGGCACTGAACCTCTCGTCTAAGCAGTTCTTTGCTTTAAGTAAAAGTAAAGGAGCCTCTTCCACGCCTTTAGGCATATAGGGCTAGACCTATATTTTATAGACCAATGGCACAAGATGGGTGATGTGTTCTTTGTTATATTATTCTAAAAATGTGTATATGATGCTAGTGATTTTGTTTTGTTTTTAAACTCTGAGGTTCTCGGTGTCATCGTCACCATGTAGCAGGTACTTTCTAGAATGTTTCTCCCACCACAGCTCGGCAGAAAGCCCTATAGGCACCCTTACCAGTTGCCCTTCCTCCTCTATGTTGAGTTTGTTATAAAAAATATCCTGTACAGGGCCTCATTTGGGAATGCCGGTTAAGGGGGCTACATAAAGTTTGTCTGAGAACTTCTTCTTCTTCGCGTTCACCAGCTGTAAACTCTGGCCGAAAGTTCTGGTTGTTCGTCTACTTCTGGACTGCAGTCCTGTTCCAGAACTTGAGTGTTGCATGTGCATCCGTTTAAAGATCTGGCTTATTTGTTTGTAGACTGCTGGTTCCTTGCCTCTCAGGCAGATGTACTCTGACTTCAAAGGAGGCTCCCAATTAGTTGACTCTTACGACATGCTTTTGGGTAGGCAGTGGGTCTATTCTTGTTTTCCCTATAATAGGAGAAGTATGTACATTCAGGTCAGAACATTCCCATTATCACTCCCTCCCCCATCTTCAACAGACAGCGGGTAACCTTTTGTATTTTTGTGTTTATCGGGTCAGCAATATCTTTTGAGCATTGAAGATTGCACAGGACAGGAAAGCATGGAAAGTCCTCTCTGAAGCCTCATGTGCCACTAGGCATAACTAGAACTGATGATGATGAATATCTTTTGACCACCTTTGTGCTAGTCAGCCTTGGCTAAGTGTTTGTTTCATTGATTTCAAATCAAGTCGGATGCCGCTATCTCCACAGTAAAGGTTAGCTGCAACAGATTTATAGCACATACTGTCTTTCTTCACCCTAGAGTTCAGAATTTACATTACAGCACTCGGGGCATTCCTATGCATGCTCTGTCCTCATCTTCAGCAGCCAGCCCAGAGTTCCAATACGGACGGTACTGGTGTCACAACCTGGTTATATAGCCATCTCGCTTTTTCTCTGGTGTAATGAACCAGCCAGACCCTCTGGGTACACCCAGGCGCCTTATTCTTCACCCTGGATGTCCACTCATGCTCCTGTTTCCCCATCCCTTGATTTTATCGTTATACTTATACGCTGCCTGCCTCTTGCTCACTTGCCTTCACCTTCATCTCATTGTATGATTTTGAAAAAAGTATAAAGTAAAGAACCATTTTCTATACCTTCAGGCGTGTTTGTGCTAGACATGTATTTTTAGACCAGTCAGCATCGCGCAGACTGCCTTTACTTTCCAGGACTTCACTTAAGGCTGGAAGCCAAAATCATTTTTTTTTCTAAATTTGAAGTCTATTTCGGTTCAGACTCAAACCCATGACATTAGGATCCACATGTAAGCTTCTAGCCGCCACGTCTTGTCGGCTACCTGTTAAAAGTGTTGTGGCCGAAATATGTGTATTTTGTATGATGAGTCAAGTGCATGCTTCAAAAAGCACAAATAGTGACTTTTCAGAACATCACTGATTATGATGGGATGTGAATGGCGAGTATTTTGAGGCAGTTAAATAAACCTGTATTGTTGTGTATTGTTATTTTGAATATTATGCCTTTCCTATGGTCTCATGTCTGTAAACATAATGCTGACATGTGATTAAAACATGTAGCCATATTTCTGATTGTGGTCAGAATGATGTTGTCCAAGGGAGTTAGTTACTGAGCGCTGAAGGTGGGCATGGTGGATATAGAGCTCGTATGAGTATGTCCGAGTGCTATGATGTTGGTTTTTTAATTCAAAACTCAGTATGTCAGTGGCTGTAACCTCCGGTGGAGAGTTCTCGTTGTTTGTCCACTTCTGGGTTTGAGTCTTGTTGCAGAGATTCAGTTTTTATGTGCACACCCAGTTTACAGATCCGCCTCATTTGAATGCAGATTGTTAGTTCCTTGCCTTTTGGGAAGATGTGTTCCAACTTTGATGGAAACACCCCTAATTAGCCGTCTCCTATGACATGCTTATGTTAGTGGAAGAAGGTCTAAACCCCCCCCCCCCCCCCCCCCCCCCCCGAATGGGACCCTAGAAATATACGGAGGAAAGAGCGTTGATTGATTCTATAAAAATGTGGTTGCAGCAATATATGCCTTTACCTTCGCATGTAAGTAAATAACACTTTTCTTTCTTCTTCTTTGTTTACCGGCTGTCAGCTTCGGTTTTTCATCCATTTAGACTTTGGCTTTGTGCCAGGGTCTCAGTTTTTGTGTGTACATCTGTTTTACTGGCTCATCTGTGTGCAGTTGGCAGTGTCCTTGCCACTCGGGCAGATGCACTTCGACTTGAAAAGAAGTCCCCAGTTAGTCATTTCCTACGACATCCCTACCCCCTCCCATCCTCCATGTTTGAGATGACCCCTCCCCCTCTTTTTTTTTAAAACCCAGGACTGAAAAACAATATTTTAAACACATTCTTATATAAGACAATCCCAAATTAAAAACTGAACAAATCTGGGGACCTACTTCTTATTGTCTGTGCAGTGTGGTGTTGGTAGTCATGTCTTATCCACAACCTGCTGTCTTATGTACTTTCAGTCAGCTGACACAGATGATCTTCCATGTTAGGCTGTCCAGTATATACTCTCTCAGTCTGTCCCTTTTCCTTCAGCTTTCCTACTGTCACAATGTACTCCAATTTTCTCCTCATGACATGACAAAAGAATGTAGATTGTCACATTCTGATGTGGGCAGTCAGTTTTCTTCATGTGTTAGTTTCTTTTAAGACATCTTGATTACTATTTTTTAATTTGTCCAGGGTATTCTCAACATTTTTCTCCGTAAAACCACATCTCTGAGGCTTCCAAATAATTTTTCGCGTGAATCTACCAACTGTGCAACTGGGATACTGTTTCACCTTATTTACCGTATTTTTGTTCGTATATAAGACGGTATGGTTCCCAAATTTGTTACTTTTTAAAATGGTGAGTCGTCGTATACACACAAAAATACGGAATGCTTAAGACAAAGGGTTAATGTGTCATCTGTCAGTGATAAAACATAGCAAGAAAATCATTTAATTTTAGAAATTGCCAATTGCCCTTTTTTTTTCCCCGCCTCCACACCTCCCATCAAATCAGGCTCGGGACACATGGGAAGTATGTCAGATGGAGACCCTTCACAACTTAGACATTTGTTGTTGTGTTTCTTAAATGTTGTCATTTGTGAGAAACTCCAGATGAATTGAAAACTTCATTTATTTTGTTTTAAATTGATGTAGGTGGATGACTGCAGCTTTGTTCTCCATGAATAATAATGGTAAATATAGGACTCGTACATACACACACGTTTTAACAACAACCATTGTACATATTTATATTTGTTTAAATTTTATTTTATGCATACTTTTAAAAATAAATGTATGTTATAAAAATGTTCAGATTGGTTTTTTTAATTTTTGTTTATTTTTTTATTTATTTAAAGATGTCTCCATGTGCATGTAGATTTTATAATATTGCTTGCAGTCTATTTTTATCGTCAGCTCTGTGGCTAAGTAGATGCGAACGCTTCGTGATGCCGGGTTCGATCCCAGCTGCGGGCCATGTGCCTTGCTTTGGTTTTCGATAGCGGTATCAAGAAAGCCAACCGTCCAGAAAGCAATGGCAAATTACTGGACGTAAATTTGCCTAGAAAAACTACACAACAGCCAGGGGCTGTTGTGGTTGGTTCTGCAACGTCCTGTAAAGGATATGCAACTAACCTAACCTATTTTTATCATTTAAAGGACCTTTTTTCTACCCCTTTAGGCGTATTCGACATATAGTGCTAGACAGGTCAATGGACAGTAAATATAATAATGTACTTGAACTAATATGGAATGTATTAAATAATTGTTGGTTGCATTCCATTACAGAATGTTGTAGAACCAACCTCACAATTTTCTTTTAATGGCTGTTGAAGTTTTTTAGGCAATTTTACATTCAGTAGTTTGCAATTTCATCCTGAACAATGGCCTCTCAATACCAAGGTCATCTGCTGCAAAAACTGCCATTCTTTCTATGAGTGCCGTTCACAATACT